TGTGTGTGTGTGTGTGTGTGTGTGTGCGTCTTTACAGAGAAGTGGGACAGCAGAACTGACTTTTGGGAATCTTTGCTTATCTGCACAGAGGGTTTATCCTGTAACATAAAGCCCTGAGAGAGTGGCTTAACGGACTAGAATTGAACAGGGCTCAGAGAGCCGAATGGACCCGCTTTCTAACCCGATTCAAATGTGAGAGAGATGCTTTTTCAGCTATTATCCAAAGAGATCTTGCCTGCAGGCAGCGAGAGACAGAGAGAGGGAGGGAGGGAGGCAGGGAGAAAGGGAGGGAGAGGCAGACAGCAAGGAAGGGAGAGAGACGGAGCGAAGTTTGGAAGGATTGAGCCGCTGCTGAGAGCTCCCAAAGTTTGTTTTTCCTTCAGAGTCTCAGAGCTGGTAGAGCCGGATCGGGGACAGCTTGAGGACGGCGCTGGCGCATGTGTCCCTCGGGACTGACCTCCCTTTCCTTGCAGGTTTTAAGCCCCGGAGGATACGATGTTCGCTAAACTCTTCCAGCAGTGGAGTTTCGCAGTGTTTCTGCTGAGTTACTCTGTGCCCTCTTACGGGAGATCAGTAGAGGAGATCAGCCGCAGACTGTGAGTTTCTCTTTTTTTTTTCGGTTCCTTTGCTCTCCCTCGCTGCCCTGGCGGGGCAGGAGGGGAGGGAGGTGGTCGAGCCCCCCGAGCGGGTGGAGGGAGCAGCCCGGGACGTTCGCAGCACTCCGGGTTACCTGCCCCAGGTGCTCCCGCTGCTGCCTGAGCGCTAGGCAGAGGGATTTGGGGCAGGGAAAGGGATTTGGGGCAGGGAAAGGGATTTGGGGCAGGGAAAGGGATTTGGGGCAGGGAAAGGGATTTGGGGCAGGGAAAGGGATTTGGGGCAGGGAAAGGGATTTGGGGCAGGGAAAGGGATTTGGGGCAGGGAAAGGGATTTGGGGCAGGGAAAGGGATTTGGGGCAGGGAAAGGGATTTGGGGCAGGGAAAGGGATTTGGGGCAGGGAAAGGGATTTGGGGCAGGGAAAGGGATTTGGGGCAGGGAAAGGGATTTGGGGCAGGGAAAGGGATTTGGGGCAGGGAAAGGGATTTGGGGCAGGGAAAGGGATTTGGGGCAGGGAAAGGGATTTGGGGCAGGGAAAGGGATTTGGGGCAGGGAAAGGGATTTGGGGCAGGGAAAGGGATTTGGGGCAGGGAAAGGGATTTGGGGCAGGGAAAGGGATTTGGGGCAGGGAAAGGGATTTGGGGCAGGGAAAGGGATTTGGGGCAGGGAAAGGGATTTGGGGCAGGGAAAGGGATTTGGGGCAGGGAAAGGGATTTGGGGCAGGGAAAGGGATTTGGGGCAGGGAAAGGGATTTGGGGCAGGGAAAGGGATTTGGGGCAGGGAAAGGGATTTGGGGCAGGGAAAGGGATTTGGGGCAGGGAAAGGGATTTGGGGCAGGGAAAGGGATTTGGGGCAGGGAAAGGGATTTGGGGCAGGGAAAGGGATTTGGGGCAGGGAAAGGGATTTGGGGCAGGGAAAGGGATTTGGGGCAGGGAAAGGGATTTGGGGCAGGGAAAGGGATTTGGGGCAGGGAAAGGGATTTGGGGCAGGGAAAGGGATTTGGGGCAGGGAAAGGGCTCTTTGCAGCTGTCTGAACTTCAAAAACTTTAGGCAAGGAGATGTGGATGCTGAGGGTCTTCTTTCCCGAGGGGCTTGTTGTACCTTTCAGTGCCCTGGGAGGATCCGCAAAGGGAGCATCACTGTTTATCAAACTGCTGTATGTCACACGAAATAACATCTCCTTCTTCAGTGCTGGCACGGAGCCGATATTGATAAGGGGAAACAGGCAGAAGAGGGGGCCATCATGAAACTGAAGTGCTGAACAATTTCTTTGGATTTCTGCCACTTCCCCCCCAAAAAAATCCAAACGCAGTCCAGTATCTTACTTGGAGGCAGAAGCATATTTTTTTGATAAATGATAGCGTAACTTAAGACAGTCTGTTCAGGAAATGACCTTTTTGCTCCTTCCAAAATAATCAGTATGGTTTATACTAATACCCATATGCAAAGTGCAGGAGAAGCCACAGGGCTGATGTAGGAGCAGCTGTCTCACACATCTAACTCACTGGCTTTCTCTGGACTTGCATCAGATTTTCTAAGGAACACCTCAGTCATACTGTGGAGGTCTGTATTGTTACTCAGTTCAAAAGGAAGCCAAGTTGGAGAAAGTGTTGGAAAGTCCCATCACAACTTATAGGGAAACATGACACAGCAAATGATTTCAGATGGGTTTGCTTGTAAATGTTTTATTACATACATAAGGACAAGATCTCCAAATAGCACTTCCTCTGCCATTCAAGAAAAAAAAAAAAAAAGAAAAAAAAGCCAAAACAAAAATCCCCCAGGTAAAGTGACTTCAGACACACCTAAAGTTTGGCACCAGGCAGACAGCTATTACAAATCTCCTACAGCAAATTGTGTAGAACATGTTATTGCTGATAATGCTACAGTGTATTCTTCTCAATTTAACTGTTTTGTGCTCCTGCAAGCTATTCTTCAGCTCTTTCTTTCATTTGAGGGCATTTTCTTCTCTTTGGATACAGAGGAACCAAACTTCACTTTCAGAAATAAAAAAATTAGAAAAAACAGAATATAATTGAAGATCAGTCAAACTGTTATTTTCTTGGCTGGGTAACTTTGAACGGGATCTAAGCCAAATTTGGGGGTGTGTTTTGTTGTTTGGGGTTTTTTTGTGGTTGGTTGTTTGTTTTTACAAAAAAAATTAGATTTGCTAAGAAGTATTCCTTCTCTTTTTCAAGTTAGCATTGTTCTAATACTTGTTTTTAAAGGTCAGGATTAGAGGTCTTCCCACATCCCCATTCTGTCCAGATGGGGGGGGGGGAAGAAAGTGGAAGCTAACCAGTGAAAAAGTATTTCTCAGCTCCCTCTTTGCTATGGCATGTAAAACACACACAAGAAACCAGTTAGCTGTCAGTTAGTGGCATTCACGTAGTTTTGTTTGTGGGCACAGCACAAACACAGACACCACACTCAAACATGTGTCCTGTTTTAATATCACCACAAACCATTCCTAGAGTTAATGGTTAATAACTCACTTAAGCCTAGAGATACTTTTTCTGTTTGGTTTTTTTTTTTCCCCAGTCAAATCCTTAAACCAGTAACGGATGAAAATACTGAAGCACATCATTACAGACATGCAAAAATAATCAAAATTACATAGGCCTGTTTCTACAGACTTTACTGAGGCAAATCTCCCATGGAAAGCAATAGCAAATTGTCCCAAGAAAAGATTTCCAGACATATTATTTGTTATAGGAATGCTTTAGCTGCTAAAGAACTTCTGAGAAAGCCCGTAATGCCTCAAAGTGAAATTAGATATTTTTATCAGCATGCCCAGACATTGCAGCATCGTGTCCCCGGATCTGTTCAAAATATTTTTCCTAACCCTGAGATAGGTTGAGCAGATTTCACTCCCTTTGGAGTCAGTGGCAAGGGCACTCAGTCTTGCAAAATCCAGACAGAGAGCTGACTGAATCCTCTCCAGTTATTTTGCTGAATTTATGATCAGACCCAACATGAACAGTCAAGGATAATAACAGTTAAATAAGAGCAACTGGCTGAGATAGAAAGTTGTCACTTGAAGAATGTTGTCCCTCAGTAATGCTAGATATCTCAAGGAAAAAAATGAAGGAGAAATGTGCCTGAAAAGAACAGCTTATCTGGAAGTACATGAAGTCAGGATAGTCACAAGTCATGGATTTCTACTATTTTCTCCATGAGGAGACATGAAGTCTCATATGTACATAGTGTACTTGGATACAATAATTAGTTTGGATGCTCTGGTCAAATACAAACCATCAATATCCTTCTCTCCAAAGTGCCTGCCACATTTAAACTTAGCATTTACTGCAGTTGGTTTGGGTACAGACTCCTTTTGCTTCGATGAGAGGTGCACGTTATAGAAGGATGGAAGGGACCTCTAGTGGGTCATCTTAACCCTAACAGCCTAATATTTTTTTACATCTCGTAGACAATATGTGAATGTAATCATTCCAGTTTTCATTGCCTTCCTACTCTGTGTGTGTGGGTGAGATATTGTTGATATCTCCATTATGAAGCACTTCTTACATCAGTCTTCTTGGGCAAGTATTTCTCCATGGTTTACAAACATAGGAGTTGTTTGAGTAACAGAAAGAGGAGGAGGCAGAAGGTCAAAGAGATATGTATCTACCACATCTTTGTTTCAAGGAGTTTTTTGATCTAGAACATACAAAGGAAGCTCGTAGGCAAAATGTAATCCTGAAGTCTGGCTGAGTAATAAAAGTCATGTGAAATGTAACACTACGTAATGTTATACAATCATCTGGAATAGCAGAATGTTATTTGGGGCCAGACTTGATGCTAAATATCCTACAGACATTTAGACAGAAACCCACCCTCTTTGGCACACTAACCCCTTACACGTCAATCCCTGCATTATTTTGGAAATGCATACTCACTCAAGATGTAGATGTTGTAATGCTCTGTGACTGCCTTGTGTGTACTGGAACCAAATGTTTAGGTTTCAGTTCTGTAAAATGGAATAGGTTTTCAGTCAAGAGGACTTTAATAGCAGGCTTTGGAGAGTCAAGATTTTGTCACAGTGGGTAAACTGACCAAATACACATTACAGGATTAAGGCAGCTTTAGGTTGTCTGTGATAGAAGGAATTATCCTTGGTAGTTTACAAGAGGCAGTAGGAAAGCTTTGCTCATCACTTGAGACATACTGTTTTAGACTCAATAAAGCACTGAGATTATGTATGCTCTCTATAAACTAGAAGAATGAAAGCAGAACTGCAGTTCCCATGCAAATTTCCTGGGAGAACAGATTACTGAAGCTAGGAATGTAACATGAACCACAATGGACATCTTGACAAGCAACACAGAGGTACACCACTCAGAGGAGTCCAAAGTGCTAATTTTATCAGTGTACTGACCAATCAGACTGACCTTAATGAGATGGTTGTTAGAGATGGCCATTGGAGAGCTTCACTGGTCAAAAGAATTCTTCTGGGAGAGATCACGAGCTTGTATTAATGATCACAGCTGCACTGAAGAGAAAGACACAGTATGGGTTTAGCTTTGCTTAGCTTTTCATTTTTGCTTAGGGATATTGAGCTGAAGGGCATAAAGTATTTACCCTGAAGCCTGAAGTCATCCAAAACTGATTTTGGGACACTTAAACCACAGACAATGTTTGATTACATGTGTGCTCACAAACCTCAGTGTATCTAGACCAGATTTTGAGCAAGATTTTGACACTCATCTTCCAGTCTGGTTGTGTAACAGGGGAAAGCTGCTGTTTGAATTTTACACTGAGTAATATTGATGTGGTATCACTTGAACCTATTGTTTGAATAGGTTTAGATTGCTCAAAAAGGGCAGCCCTACAAAGGCAAAAAGTGAGGGGATGCTCTTAAACCAATGCTACTTGGAGTTGCCAATTTCAAATAGCTCTCCTGTTGATCAAATCACAAAACTAGAATTTGTCTGAAGGGACCAAGATAAACTGCAGAACACTCTCAATCATTTAGCATTTTGAAACTTGGTAACACAGCAGGAAAATGAGGGATGGAAGCAAGGAATATTCACTCACAATTATGTGTCTTCTTCCAGTTCACCCACATGCAGCTAAACTGATCAAATGATTATAGGACAGGCAAGGCAGTGAATGAATTTTCTTTGACCAGTAAGAACATGCAGGACCCTGATCCAAGGGGAGAGGATACATAACCAAACTCTGTGCACTGGAATAAGGCATTTGAAGGGATAAACTGTATTAGAGCATTCATGGGAACATAGCTAAAATCCCAGCTTGTGCTCTTTCTGTGGTTCACAGTGCAGCTGTGTGTCTATTCCACATCAAGGAAAAGGCATGAATTTCCTCATGGTTAGTTATTATCCAGGTGCCACTTGTATCTTCTTCCCTCTGATGTTTCATACATCCTTTGCCACTACAACATCTCTAAAAGGCAGACAGCTAGCCATCTCCCAGTTCCTCGAAAACGAGACAGAGATCAGTGAATGAATGGTCATGAACTCCGGAAAAACCACTCAGACAAACCAGAATGCTCTTGAAGAAGATCCAGTGAAGACGGATAGCATAAAACTGAAACAGTACAGCAGACAAGAAATTTGGCCCCAAAAATTCACTCTTAAAGCAATACTAGGAAAGCATCTAAACCCATAATTGGACACAAGTGGCCGAGCAGTCAAATCAGCAAGAGTGGCTGAGGCTCATCGCTGCCAATGCTCACGCTACCTCTCCGTGCTGAAGCACCTAAGTTTTAGGCAGCCGAATTTGAATGTTTTTCCATTATGTTCCTGCAATTACACTTGCTTAAATTTAGAAATGAAACGAACTTTTACGTATTTATTTATGATTTTGAAGTGCATGACCAAGCAGAAGAAAAATACTAGAATGATGCTGTACAAACATAGCTTCCGGCTCCAGTACAAGTACTTGTTATTCCCTCTCTTGCTTGACTGCAGTGCTCCATGATCTGACCCTTAAGTTTTCCTATCTCTGACAACTGCCTTCCTGCTTTTACTGCCTGAAGTGTGATATATTAAGAGTCGTAATGATTTCCTAGAACAGAGCAGTGACTAATCCAACTCCAGGTCCAGTGGTGTGTGATCGGTCAGCTGAGAATTATTACCCGCTTAGGTCTTTCCCTTCTCTGTAGGGAGTAGCTACTCTGAGAAGCAGGACTTGCTCCAGCAGTCTGACTTAACCGGATGTCTCCAAGCCTGAGAGCTGGTACACAGTCACTCTGGCCACCACTCCAGAGAAGAGAGGAGTTCTGCCAAGTACTGGGCAATAACCAAATCCTAAATGTTTTTTCCCCCTCTTCTCTTCTCTTTCTATAGCAAACGGGCTGTATCGGAGCACCAGCTGTTGCATGACAAGGGCAGGTCAATCCAAGACTTACGAAGAAGAATATTCCTTCAAAACTTAATTGAAGGTGTCAACACTGCAGAAATCCGTGCGACTTCGGAGGTATCGCCTAACCCTAAGCCTGCTACCAACACCAAGAACTACCCTGTCCGATTTGGTAGCGAAGATGAGGGTAGATACCTAACTCAGGAGACAAACAAATCACAGACCTACAAGGAGCAACCCCTGAAGGCATCAGGGAAGAAAAAGAAAGCAAAGCCTGGAAAGCGTAAGGAACAAGAGAAGAAAAAGAGGCGAGCCCGCTCGGCTTGGCTAAATGCTGGCATGTATGGAGACGTCGTGACTGAGAGCCCACTCATGGACAACTCTGTTACTGCACAGAATCATACTTTAAGGTAATTCTGCTACATGCTTTTGTGGAGCATACCATGTATTTACTGCAATTTTTATTCTTTGGTGTGAGAGGCCAAGGCCTCGCTCAAACCTGGAGTGTAACAGCAGATCTTTGTGCTCATAACTGGGCAGTGGCTTTTCAAGCAGTGCACAGTCTCAAGGTGCTGTCTGGAGGTAAGTGCCCCTTCCACTTTGCACTGGTGACAGTCTTTCTTTCCTATGACACACAAACCAAGTAAACCACCGACTGACAAAATGTGCTTCATGAAGCTGAGTAGTAAGTGAAGTTATTTCTGCAAAAACAAAGCACATCACAGCCATTAAAATTTCCTTTCCTGATTTAACCATAGCATCTCACATCATATCTTGGTGCCACACTTGGGACTCAGCATATTGAAAGCTTTGAATTTTATTTAAGGCTCTGCATCTATAAAATGGTAAAGTTTTCTTTCCTTCCTCTCAACACTTTCCCTTTTTGGAAAGTGTCCTACCCTTACTTTACAGTTTTCCATTTTACTATGTAACTTTAGGGAAGAACACGGAACATTTCTCTCTTAGAAGTGTCTGAGAACAATGCAGACCAGCCTTTCACCATAAAATTTCCCTGCCATTAGGACTTTTTAATTCCGCTCCATCTTTTTGCCAGCTCATGAAACAATTACATCGTTGCTGAAAAATGTTTAGCATTGCTTTTGGAGACAGGTGTGCTCCCCTCATGTATGACAATGAAGGGTTTTCAGGCAGTGGTGAGCTGGAGACATCAGCCTAGGTGTCCTAAGTGACTCATCCCCTTGCAGTCATCTCAGCTTGAGTGGAAGTCTGCACACTTGCAGATAAAGCCAAGGAGTCCACTCCTCAGTTCTCCTCAAATGTTTGCATTGTCAACAGCAAAACTCCCACCCTTTTCTCTCCTCCTCCCCTTCACTTTGGCAAAATAGAGACTTAAAAGAAGTGCCACTTGCTCACAGTAAATCCCTTAGAAAGAGATGCCAGCTGTGGGATTTACTAAAATCCAGTTTTGGGTTACGGCCACAGTTTGCAATGTGCTCCATCACCTCAACTTCTGCTGACGTCCACAAGAGTTACTGGCATTTGGGCCTAGGCACTCAGTGTCCTGGACCACAAACCAGCTGGCATGGCTGCAGCATCTAGGAGTGAAGGAAGAGAGGCTGGTTTGTCTCAGCACTTTAGGAAAGGCACTCCTCAGGACTCTGGTCAGGTCTGGTGTTTCCACAGATGTCAAGGAACTGTGTTGCCCAGTAAATAACACCTGTCTTCAGCACATAGAGATCTTGAATGTAG